ACTATAAACAATATTAAAGAGTTTATGTATTGCATCTAATAAGTGATGTTCACCGTATTTTAACAATTCATTGCAAATTCTATCTTCTGCCGAAGCCTTGTTACTTTTAAGAAGTCTAATGGCTTTTGTGGTTTCATTTTTTAAGATTGGTCTGTCTAAATAGGGGCTGCTACTTGCACTCTTTTCACTATTCTCCAGTTCATTCGCAATCTCAGAGTTTGATGTACTGCTATCAGTATTAAGTAGGTTCTTAAAGTAAACCAACCAATCACCAGGTTGAACATTGCAATTATTATTGCTGGGGTTTTCGCCATTAAGATCACGGAGAATCTTCGAGAATTTAGATGTGTCTGCTTTTGAATTTTCCAATTCTTTGATTTGTGCAATCATTTTCTGATTACTTTTATGTTTGATTAGTTTTTTATACTGTTTACAGGATTGATAGAATTTCCCTTGGATATATTCCCAGTTTATGTTTGACAAAACCTTGATGAAATGTGTATGATGACGGATGCTTTGCATTTTCCTTCAATAACATAAATGCAAATTTATATGCTCGAAAATGTGTAGTGCTGTTTATATTTGTCATAAATTGTAGCGAATATTTGAATATATTTTTTTGCCATAGTCATTAAAACTGTCGTTTTCGCTGTGAAATGTGAAGCCAAGGCTGACTATGCAGACCACATAGGTCGTAGATATGGAATTTGTTGGTTCAAATCCATGGTTTTGCTGCTCAAAACACGTCCTATGTTCAAATAGTGAAGGGAATGCTTTATTATCGACTTAGATTATGTGAGAACAAGATCACTCTGATTCGATTCGAAATGAACTCCGCTCAGTTGTCCCCATCTGAGCATATTTTATTCGAAACCGCGTTAACTAATTCGGGTCGAAGCAAACCAAATTAAACTAATCCGAATTAACGCGGATTATTGGCCCATGTGGACAGCTAACCGAATTCGGTTCGAATCGAATCCATTTCCCTGGAATTTCGCCAACAATAGTCGCGAAAATTAAATGTCGAGGATATAGTAGATGACCAAAGTAGACGACGGATGTACATTCGCTTCGATCCAGGGCCGCGAATATTTTTGCTATACCATGGCAGGTTTAGGCATAGACCTTAAAAGTCTATGGTTTAGGTTTGACTTGGTTTACATGTTATTGAGTTCTTGTACGCCATTAAAGAGGCACACCGCATAACAGGTCACAACAAACAGATGTGAACACAATAACTGACTCTAGACAGTCTACAAATATAGTTTTGGTTCACAACACACGTGTCCACTCAATCACATAGACACAATTTGAAAGCGTTCAGTTTGAACTAGAACTAAACGGATAACGGAATCAGATTGCAGAAAGTGCGTTTGGCTTTGTTATGTAAAACAAAAATCAAGCATTTGATCCGATCTCTCGCCAGAAAAATCGCCAACAGAAATAAGAAACTGGTTATCGTAGTATTCTATTTGTGGAACGGATGAACTTTGTTATAAAAGGAAAGCCGACACCCCGATCTGACATCATCCCTAACATTTTCTCTGGACACGTCATCAAAGACTCAAGTTGAGTGGGTCAAGTCACAGTTCCTGCTGAACCTGTTGGGAATTACAGTGGGACAGAAAGTAGTTCTAATCTACAGTAAGTTGAACCGAATTAGTTAACGCAGATTCGATTCGGTTCTAGTACGGATGAGGTTATTGTCTGTTATATTGGATCAGATACCTCCTTGCTTGTCTCCTTCATCGACGCAACAATGATCACAGACCAGAATTTCATTAAAGGGCGGTGGTCGTCCCACAGTGCATGCTCGAATTTCACGTAAACAAACAATGTATTTTACGATTTCAGTTAAACGGTGGTTTTGTAAAAGTGGTGTTCTTAGGTAATCGCACAGTGACTTACTTTATGATGAACGATTTGAACAACCAAATGAGTTGTTCGATATGTTTTAGACACAGGGTTCTCTAATATGAATAGTCTATGAATAGTTTGGTTATTAGGGTTATGTGTGTGTTGTATACATTTAGACAATTTATTGTAATATTGCATTATTTATTATCAATTTTATTTTCTAAATAACTACTATAATGTATCCAAACTTAAAACTGAATAAGACGCTCATCTCAGATCTTCGAGTATGTGGTTTGTTTCTTAGTGCTAATACGCACATCCATTGCCAGTCTCTGCACATATACACGCCTGTTTGGCGGCGGGGTCAGTTATCTTGAAACATTGGCCCAAGCCACGCTCTTCCTGGTTCACTGCGGCTTTTTCAGTCAAATCTCTGGTGACAATATTCTCAACAGTTCTCGAAGCAACCAGGCCAATCAACAGCAGGCTTACAACAAGTGTGATAGTAACACGCATCATGATAGGTCAGTTTCTCGACTGTAAACAAGGGAGACAGTTTTACTTTCACATTCATATAAATTTTGTGTGTAGGTGATTATATTTATTTCTGTCCGTTGAACGTAGACCGACACGGGACATATGTTATGGTTTCTGTCTGCGTGCCCTCATTCATGGTACGTTACTTGTGCAAGACATTTCGACTTGATTCAAAATGCCATGTTGTTTTTCTCGTGTGTTCTACCTATTTCTCAGGCACACCTTCACCGTAACGTAACAAATAACTGGTCCAATATTAAAAAGCAATGTGGATGACAGTATATACTTTTTAATAATGTTGTTTAATATTATCTGTTGATGAATACATTTACTTATAATTTATCATGAGTGTTCGACTGAATTCTCTAATACGTATGGGCATTGTAATCAATGTGAAAGCGGGGGGGGGGGTCGTCACCTGCGCACGCGCGGGAATTGAGTTCCAGGCGATGATAACAACACACGCTAAAACGCAAAAGCTCATGGGTAGACGCTTGTTTGTAAACAATGACACGCTATGGCCATCTGACGCAAGCGCAGGTGACGATTCCCTGCTTTAATGTATATTAGGGCTTTTCAATTTTTCATCGAAATAATGCTGTGAGTTGTGAGTTTACGATAAATCGTAATCCAATTTAATTCTCAATATTCAGTATCAGACAACAATATCAAAAATTGCTTTTCGTATCAACAAAAATATCGATTTGCCTGTTTAAATATATCCATTATATTAACATTATATCCAATTGCGTTTATTGATTTTTTTTGAATTCTTATACAACCTGGTTGTGTGTTTGATTCGAATCTATTGCATTTCGTTTGAATTCGTCACATTTTTCTTCAAAGATGCATCATGAAGGAAAACATGTATTTATTTGAAAATTGTTTCTAGGTGTTCCATACTGTAGACCATATCTGATTATGATTCATCATATACTACAAATATTAATTAATAGTTAGATGAAAATTAAAAACCACTAGTGCGCATGTACAAGTGACTGCTATTTCACGTACCAAAACAACCAGTGGGTTTGCGTATTAAAGAATTATATTGTTTCCCATAAATATACTTGTGCTACAAGAACCAAGTTTTCGATTTATGATAAATCCCAGCCCAGTGTAAACATCATTATGCTGCATCAAACAACAACAATAATAATAAAAACTACATGTTCTCGTTTATATTGTATCGTTGAGGAATATAATTATAAATTCCAGGCAAATAAATGAGCAACGCAGATTTTTATGCAAACAGAAAATATGAAAACTTACCGATTGTGTGGCGTACTGCGAGCAATGCGAGTAGTGAGTTTCAGGTCGGAAAATGTCTTGTGTTACCCATACTGTGTTACGGGTGTCTTATATAGCATCCACAATTCCGAGGACATCCACTTCAATGCCGTTATTGATAAGTTTATCATGTATGTATTTAACTTGAAGTGTTAAATTATCCGGTAAATACAGATATTATATGCTGCAATATGTTTAGTTCAATTGTACCTACAATGTACTGTGAAACCTTAAAATATGATGCATGGCGTTCAGTCGTACTGTGAATAGATCAAAATGCTCTGTTATTAAATGCTGTTAAACGCGTTGATAATTACAAAATATTTCAATAACGCACACAAGGAGGTACACTAATCATGCTCAGAATAAAATATTCTGGCAACTTCAAAGGCGCCGCTCTTTGCTTTGATCAATCATAATTGTAAAGTTTACGTTCAGTGTAAGTTGCACAATTCTCAACGTGTCGTGACATATATGGTGGGGAATTGCTCTGATCAGGATATGGATATAGAACTCCATTTTCAACAACAACTACCGTAACAGCCTCGCAGGCAGACCAAATCCTTTCAGCTGCTTGTATGTATGAGTGAAATTAAGTCCTAATATAATTATATATCGCTAATAAATCATTCCCCTCGCTATTTGAACATTGGATTTTTTTGAGAAGCAAAACCACATTTCACAGTGAAAACCACAGCTTTAATGACTATGGGAAAAGAAATATATTCAAATATTCGCCACAATTTATGACAAATATAAATAGCACTACAAATTTTCGAGCTTATGATTTTGCATTTATGTTATTGAATGAATATGCAAGGCATCCATCATCATACACATTTCATCAAGGGTTTGTCAAACATAAACTGGGAATATATAAACATGGGTAATAAATCAAATTACAAATTATTGGTTCCCCTGTTCTGACTTCAAAGCTTCCGACTTCGTATATCTGTGAGTTTCAAGAGATTAAATTTGAGTTTATATTGATGTTTGTCCAATATAACCACAGATATATCATATGTAGTATGAAGTATGACTTTCTGGAAATCACAGAAACATTGAAATCCCCGGAAACTTCGGACATCGGGGCCTTGGGAATTACAGAAACACAAAAAATCTATACTACAAATTTATAAATTGATTACTATTATTATGACTTCGAGAAGGGAATACTAATTTGTATTTTTCCGTTGTTTGGTCTTTGTTTCGTTGAAAGGGAAAACTTAGAAAATGATGTTTTTAAATGTATACAAATATACACACCCCGGGGGTGTCTTGGGGTAAAGATATGATTGTGGATTACCATTTTAACGCTGATGTTGTCTTTATTTGTCTACTTCTACTGTCCTGTTGGGCTGGATATATTAATACTAGCGTCCCTGTATGCAGAAATGGTGTTTTCAATAAAAAAAATGCATTTAGTGTTTATCTAAAGCAACATGAATGAACATACTTACATTAAGACAATAAATATATTGAATATTGTTAATTCTTGCTTGAGTGAAAATAAATTTCTGTACAGAATACATTTAGAGAAGTAATTGGTTTTATGTTTAAGGTCCTGTATGCGCTGTTGCGCTCAGTAAACTGTTCCCTAACCAGATTAAAACTGGATTTTAGTTTCGTGCATTTCCTCCCATATTTTTGTATCTATTTTTCCATAATTTCAGAAATTCACTGTAACGTGTTTCAATCTATTATTTTGAAAAAAATACTTCTGAATTACAATGTGAAACATGTAATGTTAAAATGATTTTTTTTTCAACGTTGCAGTAAATTCTTATGATAGCGACTTCACGTCGCTAATTCTATTGTTCATTGACAAATTGAGATTGAGTATAAGGTTGCAAGCTGAAGAAATTCAGTCAAGCTGTCAACATATGGAGTGTTGGATAATCAGATTGTAACATCGGGTACATACTTGATAGGCATCTGCAAAATTCGCGCGAGTCTGAGCCAGCACGTGAATGTCAGTTTACATATATCGCTCTCTGTTCAACACTAGCCCGCGATCTTCCATGACACCGTTGTCCCTAAGATGTGTTATTAACAGAAACACGTACATTTACAGCTCCTTCAGCAATAAGATCCGCATTGTAGCCAAGACAGTTCACATTTTTATGTTGATCCATTCATTGTATCTAACCACGTAGATAACATGTATAAAAAAAGAGGCGTTACCACTGTGGCACCAAGTGAGAATTATTTTGTCTGAGGTAACTGAACTTATCATGTAAACATACTGTTGATCAACCTATGATTAAAACACACAATGAATGTTTGTAAAAGCCATTAATTTAACTTAACTTGAAAAATGTGTCAGTGTTGGGTGGTTATGTGCGAGTTTATGTTGTGTGTAATCCCTTCTCAGCCAAGTCACTATTGAGTACACATTGATATTCACAATGATTAGTTTATTCTACTAGAAACTCTTATCAGATTTTATATCTGTCAAGGTAGCAATGTGGACACTGGTGTTGAAAGAGCTGTATATTTAATACCAATAGCAGAGAACAACGCTGTTATATTATTTTCGGGTGCGAACGACCGGTTCTTGCTAACCAGTTTCGCGCAAAAACCGTAGATAAGTGCGATGGCCTATAGAGAAAATGTAGGTAGGTACAATACTAAAGATGAAACATAAATTCTTGGATATAACTAATTATTAATAACATGGTAACAAGAAATAAAAGCTGTGCCACTCACAGTGTTGTGGTGACATGTTTTGGTTCGAACTAATATTGGTTTTGTGACTTGCTCAGACATTAAATAACAATGAAAATATTTAAATTTGTTATTGTCATCGTCATCAAAAGATGACAACAGATACGCTTGGTAATTTAACGGGTTGAATCACGGAGACTGAATTAAAAATATTTCCGGCAGGACATTTTTATTTGTTAATGACAACATCTGAAATTCGATTCTACGCGGCAGGATTCTTGACGATCTGGAATGGGATGTGTGTGAAGACCCGATCGTGCATTAATTTCTTCGAAATTTGGTGACAAATAAACGCAAATAATATATCGATGGCTCCATAATACACATAATTGGAAACTTCGCAATACTAAATATAAATTTGTAACGTATTCGGTTATTAGCATATCGAAATGTATAGGTGTACTGTCATGGGGGAATTATCGTCGTGTCTCTACGTCACGTCTGCTTGAGGTACGGGATCGGAAAAGTCACTTAAACTTTACAGTCAAATAAGACACACACAACGAAATACGTTTCAATAGCTAGTTTTTAGCCACATCAAGAACGCCTCAAGGCAAACTGCCTCGTCGGAGACTCTGCCCGGGACTGTCCAGCACGTTAGTTCTCTCTGTGACCAAAGACTTAGACCGTTTATTACGTACCAAAACTTAACCAATTACAAAGCAGTATAAAGACTCTAGGGCGTAACCTTCAATCATGCAGCCAATCACACTAAGTACTGAATACGTCATATCTTATGGATTAATCATCCGCTATATTAATAAACTACAAATACCAAACTGTCAGAAATAGTTTCAGTCAATGATTTCAATTCCGTCCATGGCGCCACTGGGGTCTAAACGATGACGGACATAACACAGTCATTCGCTAGTAACACAGCCAACCAAGTCGGTCAACAGGTACGCGAAAACAAATTCATGACAGTATCAAAGAAATGTGAAATTGTGTGTTAAATATTTGGTTAAATTATTGTATTATCTAACAGTCCTTCTCCTCAGAAATGTTACAATATACTTTATTGATTGTTTAGGTGAGCGACTGAAGCACGCCTGGGTTAATGAAATAAAAACCAATTGTATATTAATATTACACATTTGCACGATGCATGGAACAACCAGTAAGTAGGAAATATAGAAACATTTGTCGAATTGTTCTCAAATAGGTGTTTTATGGAAGATTGCTGGGCTGCGTCGATAGACTAGACACTTACCGTAATTACAAAACATCTTAAAGAAAAATGCATTTCATTAATTACTATACAATCACATAGGAAAAATGATATCCCGTCTACACTGTTCAATTCATTCTCGAAGTATTGAGACTGGCTCAGCTGCATACTTGATTTGGAACATACTGACAGATTTTGCACTCTTTGCAACTTGTAAGATATTAACGATGAATACTTTTTGATTTGTTCACTCTTTGGTTCATTCAGACACCTTTATTACAGATAAACGCAAACATAATAACTACGGCTTCAAACATTTCAATAAATATTGGACGCAAAAAAATAATAATGTCAACAGAGCAAATCTGCATGCTGAAAATAAATTAAGAACTTTACAATAAAATAAAGAAAGTTTTAACTGGTTAAAAAAACTAATGATTTGCGTGAGTCTCACACCAGATCCTGGCTGAGTAACCGTCGTTATTTATGAAAACTGTGGTGGCAACGGCATTGAAGATGAACAACATTTCTTACCATCTTCTAACAGACGCAGAGATTTAACAAAGTTTCAGAAGCTGAAAAAATAATGATCAATTGTATTAAATTAAAAATAAATTTCAATTTCCCATGAGCAGCGATGACATACCACTTGCACAGTTCATACCAATATGTATGCAACATATATGCACATTAATTGTTATATTTGTTTAACTGTAGCTTGTGTACTTTTTTTATTCATCTCATTTTTAACTTTTGTTCAGCCCCTGCGAGGGTTGTTATTTGTTGATGAAAATTACAAAATCAAATTATGGCGTGAAACCTATAATCTCTGTATGCAGTTCTAACCGATATTCAATGTTAATGAAGTCAGAAACAGATCGTTTGGAAACTGACGTAACGAGGGAGACGAATTGTTAACGTTGAGTGAATAATTTAGACATTTCTTGACAAAAACGTCCAAGAAAATACAAAACACCGAGTGTACTGTCTCGATTGAAATCTCTGTATGAATAAGCAAATAGAGACTCCGAACCAAACACATAACACGCGATGGCAAGTTAGTTATTAATGCAAACATGGCCTACACCTCGGAGAATAATCTTTACATTCAAGGGAAGGAGAAAATCTCCCCTTCAGTGGCAATTTAACTGTATTTAGTATATTTGTAATATATGGTTCAATTACAGTGTGCCCAGCATTTTCTGTAATAGTGATGTATACAAGAGTCCAATTATTGGTTAACATAAAAAAAACACAGAATACAGCGAGGTTGGTTTGACAGGTTCAAGTGTTAAAACTGATGAAACTAAATAGATTGTCCTTGAACAGAAAATTGCTGCTATTATTTGACAAGACACATATCAGAATGGTACTTATATACATACACATAGACAATTTATAGTGGTTATTCAGTACTTTAAACGTGTACTTCTTTCCATATTACAACGTATTAACATTGAACTCCTTTCTAAAACAAATACTGCGATTTGTTGTACATCATCATCAACATACTGGTCGTATTCAATTCTGTGATATATTTAGAATAATAGGTCATTTGGAAATTACTAAATATTAAGGCACATATTACTGCGAAATTATCATTCAAAATGTGCAAAACATAACGTAAAACTGATGCTGGAATCTGTTTTTTTAAATTAAATGTATTGTTGGTGAAAACTGTTTACCAGGGCTCGCAACGTTCTTATAATGTGGACAGTGTTTCTGATAACATTAGTCAAAGTTTTTACAAAAAACGTTGTCTATTTTCATTGTTTTTGTCTTTCTATCGTAAAGTTTAACACATAATTTGAGGGCAAACTCATTTTACGCATTTTTACGGTTATTATTATTAATTAATAATGTAGTCAGCATACCAACACTGATGCACTAACACTGTAGTATTTTCAGTAACTGGCAGAATTTCATATTTTACGTATTAGTGCATCATAAAACGCCACTTTCCATGAATATATTGCTACAAAATCAAGCCAGTTTAATTCTTCATCTGTGGCGTCATGTCATGCCATCATCATCAACAACAGATTGTTCATACTTGAACATCCGTGGCCCTCAAATACATGTAGTCTCCACCGATCTCGACCATGTGCCAATCATTCAGCCTCAACCACAGGGAGCCCAGGAACTATAATCAACCGTACGCAGTCCCTATGACTCCCCCCTCATAGTTCAGATCATAGTTCCTGGGCTCCTTGTGCCACAACCATTGTGAGCCCACATATTTCCTTTAATATTATCACTCAGTCTCATCTTCGGTCTTCCCCTTCCTCTGTTTCCCATTACCATGCCCATCAACATTCTCTTGTCCAAACTATCACTTCTTACCAAGTGATCCTTTTATTCATGATGTTGAACAGTCTGTTTACACAATTTATTCTTTGCAGTACTTCTTCATTAGTTATATTTTCTGTCCAGCGTATGCGTAGTATTTGCTTATAGTTCAAAGCTCTGTATTTTCTTTTTGTCCGAGTTTTTGAGTACCCAGCATTCAGATGCGTATGATGCAATTGAGAACACTAGGGAGTTCAGTAAACTCAGCTTTGTCTTCAATGTGATATTCTGGATCCTGTCTGTCCAGATTTTGATTAGTGCAATTGTAGCACCCTTGGCAATTTCAATTTTCCTTTATATCATGTCATGGTTCGTCTAAATGGGCAGTCAGTCACCGGTTTATTTTACCCAGCTGTCACCACGACAAATACAACTAAAAAAAGAGTTTGTAAAGTTGTAAAGATACATTTACAGTGCGTATGGTAAATTCTATACATGAATTGAATTAAATCGTTTGTAAAACGTATAATAGATAATGTTACAATTAGTATAAACATTTTAATAGCATAAATATGCTCAAGATAATGACCGGATAAAGTAGTGCTTCACAATGGATGGTGTTTAAAAACCAGTATAAAAACCGGTTGTGACAACTGAATAACACACAACATTGCATTCCTAGAGCCTGTTCAATTTACAGCTGGTAAGTTACAGTTTCCTTTCGGTATTTGTCATAATATTGAATTTTTTTGCGCAATTTCACAAGGAATATTTTTTTTTTCTCGTCATATTCCGAGCTGGCTATTAGCACATATTGTTGACTACTAATGTTTCAAATCACGAAGCGCTCTTTTCCAGTGCTTTTAAAGGTCTTTACGCTATATGCGGAGTTATATTCGAGGTGATACTGTACACAGTCCGTTGAGGGACTGTATAACGATTGTTTAACCATATATATTCTGATAAAACGCACACGTTTGTGAAATGGCCCAGCAGGCTCAGCTGCCAGTGAGTTACTTGTATAGTTTTCACTATAGGAGCAACAAATATCAAAATGTTTCGACGGTCGTTACTAAAAATACAGAACAAAACAAAGCCCATTATTTTATTGAACCAGAGAAAGGTAGATGGACCTCTGTGCATAGTGCTAATGGGTGATATCAGGTGTTTTTCTGATTTCTGTTTTCACATTCTACTGAAACGAAGCAAATTAGAATTGAACGTGCGACAAGTGACAATTGAGATCGTTAGCGTTAAAACATTATTAGAACAAACATTGGTGTTTCAACATTCCTAAATTCCAATTTACTGTGACCGTAAGAAAGAATTGAACGAGATTATTGCACTATGTGACACTGTTTTGCCCACCAAATAGCTACATTACACAAAGTGTTGCCACAGGAAGCAATGGCTACACTGTGAGCAATATATCAGCTATATTCCGGCTTTTGACAGACGTGTGAACACGGTTTCATTAGAAATACAGTCTATCATACTGCAGTATTGTGGTTTCATTCTTATTTGCGGTCATAGTAAAAAGAAATTTATTTTATACACGTGAGACATTCCGGTGACATATTAATATATCTTGCCATATGTCAACAACTAGTTTACAATCTGAAATATTTGATGCCGAAGAATAATGCTCTGTTTGAACATCAGTTTTATTCCACGATAAATAATATGAGATTATTTCGAGGATACCGGAAAGTATGCAAGCTGTAGTAGCTGATGGCGTTACGATGATAGATGTATAATAACATCCAGATATGTTTATTAAGATACAATATCAGAATAACAGAATTATTTAAACATATTCAAAGTTGTCCACATGCAACTAATATTTCCTAACTTTAGAACACATGCCTATTAACATATGTATACATTCTCAAAAAAACTAAAAATATTGAATCGATTTTTTGAAAGCAAACTCTTTAAACAAAATCAAATTTTTCGTGTTTCAATGTCAAGTGGTATTTTTTCTAAAAGCTGAAATTAAAACGGGGGAGTCGTCACCTACGCATGCGTCAGAATGCCAAAGCGTGTCATTGTTTACAAACACGCGTCTACCCATGACCCTTTGCGTTTTTAGCTGATGTTGTTATTGTCGCTTGGGACTCGATTCCCGCGCGTGCGCAGGTGGCGCTCTCTCACCAACTTACTCATTTCAATTGTGTACTTTTTTAGTAGAGAAGTGAATGGTAGTTGTTTCTGATAAATCACCTACCTAAGTTTAGTTTAATATTACGCTAATTGTTTGACACTTGTTGACATATATGTACATTTTTTTTGGAAGAAGTTTCTTCTGTTTCGATATGCCTTATACGTCTTAATCTGATAAATAAATAGATTGTATTTGTATGCACAACATAGATTGAGTTAATTTAGCAGATTTCAATTTATCAACAAAACCCGTGAAAAAAAAAACATAGCGTAACTATTACAACCCTACTCATTGAGAATCTATATTAAATAAAAAATGGATGGATGGATACAAACAAATGATGTACAATTTTTTTTGCTTGGTAAAATTTAGTATAAAAGTCATTAAACTGTACAATAATAGCGTATTGTTTATTACATTTATCTAATTGATTGATCTTGGACAGCACACTACTAACAAATGGTTCTCATTATGACCAGTAGAAGTGTCTTCATTCTGTCAACTTATTTCTAGGTATAACAAATGTTTTATTTAAACCAAACTGCACTTGCTAATTACACCAAAATTGAACTTGGTTGACATTTCATAGTGATTCACAAATTTGAAGACGATGAAATGGGTTGGGCGAGGGAAGCGGGTGGCTGGTATAGGATACTGACATAACAACGGCATTCTACGTTTTTACAGGAAATAAAATGAAAGTTCCATTTACAATAAAAATAGATTTTTACACTTTATATTTGTATAATATTTTTGATAATTTGTGTTTAAGAGTCAAAATTGGGAATTGTGTACGAATTACGACATTTAATGTGGAAAATGCTTTATACGCTTACAAAAAATAAGATCTTTGTACAAATTACAGACAAATAAATTACATTACATTTTACATCTTACCCATGTCTACGAATTTACGTTTTTTATTTATTTAAATAACATTAATACGAAAATAAAATTGATTACAGCTAACGAAATACCCCTTGCCGACCCTCAGTTTACATGCACATGATGGACACTTCACTCACATTCCATGACAAGGGTGTCATTTTAAAGATAAGCGAAATATCAATAATGATATATTCTTCTCTGTCAGTTTCAGTAAAACAAACCTACACCAATCATAATGCGTGTTACTTTCACACTTGTTGTAAGCCTGTTGTTGATTGGTCTGGTTGTATCCAGTACTGTTGATAATATTGCCACCAGAGAAGCGAATGGAGAAAATACTGCAAGCCAGGAAGAGCGTGGTCTGCTAGACTGCTTCAAGATAACTGACCCTGCTGCTCAACAGGCGTGTATATGTGCAGAGACCGGCAATGGTTGTGCGTTCTAGTCGTTACAAAGACCTCGATGTAGAACATTGACAACATAATTTTATCGATTATCAGCCGATATACATTGTAGTTTATACTAATGTAGAATTAAAAGTGTATCCAAGTTTCTTTCACAACAAAATGTGGTTATCAATATCATTAAATATACAGTGAATGTTATAAAGGCATCTATGATTTTCATGAAAATTGATAAAACTTTTATTCTGAAAGACCCTCCAACTTTATTGCAATAAAAAGATGGCGCTGTCATTTGCTATAGGAGCCATTTGGTGACATCAATTACCCAAGAGTCTTTCAGATGTCCTCCATTCATTGGTCGATTTACTACAATATACCGGTAATCGTGCCGTGATTGGCCATGATTAATTCAACTGCCATTTTAAATTTTATGAATAATTTATATGAAAAACAAATCATGCCTTCATAATATTCATTGTACTATAAACAGCTTTACTTTCACAAAAAGTAAATAATTGTCAATCATTAAATATCACAAAATTGCAAATTTGTAGTGATCAAATCTCCCTGGGATTGACTAAATTATTGTCATCACAAACGAAAAAAAAAATGAAAAAGAACATTGCTTGTTGCCAAATTAAATACAGCAACGATTATATTTACCCCAAGAAAATAAAAAAAATGTAATTAATTGGATCATGTTCTGGCCATTAAATAGCCATTTTAGCCTTTTTAGTAGTGAACAAAGAGAGGACTATACATCAAGTTGTATTAAAGAGGAGGGCTATACATCATGTTGTATTGAACAGTGAGAGGGCTATATATCATATTGTAATGAACTGAGAGAGGGCTATACATCAAATTGTATTAGAGGGAGGGTTATTTTATATTAATCAGAGGGAGGCTATATATCAAATTGTATTTAACAGCGAAAAAGCTATACAATATATTGTATTGAACCGAGAGGGGGGTTATACCGAATGGTGAAAGGGCTATATATCATGTTATACTGAATGGTGAAAGGGCTATATATCATGTTATACTGAATGGGAAAAGGGCTATATATCATGTTGTACTGAATGGAGAAATTGCTATATATCATGTTGTACTGAATGGGGAAAGGGCTATATATCATGTTGTACTGAATGCAGAAAGGGCTATATATCATGTTGTACTGAATGGGGAAAGGGCTATATATCATGTTGTACTGAATGCAGAAAGGGCTATATATCATGTTGTACTGAATGCAGAAATGGCTATATATCATGTTATACTGAATGGAGAAAGGGCTATATATCATGTTGTACTGAACGGGAAAAGGGCTATATATCATGTTGTACTGAATAGGGAAAGGGCTATATATCATGTTGTACTGAATGGAGAAATTGTTATATATCATGTTGTACTGAATGGGGAAAGGGCTATATATCATGTTGTACTGAATGCAGAAAGGGCTATATATCATGTTGTACTGAATAGGGAAAGGGCTATATATCATGTTATACTGAATGCAGAAATGGCTATATATCATGTTGTACTGAATGGAGAAAGGGCTATATATCATGTTGTACTGAATGGGGAAAGGGCTATATATCATGTTATACTGAATGCAGAAATGGCTATATATCATGTTGTACTGAACGGGAAAAGGGCTATATATCATGTTGTACTGAATAGGGAAAGGGCTATATATCATGTTGTACTGAAAGCAGTAATGGCTATATATCATGTTGTACTGAATGGAGAAAGGGTTATATATCATCTTGTACTGAACGGGAAAAGGGCTATATATCATGTTATACTGAATGGAGAAAGAGCTATATATCATGTTGTACTGAATGGGGAAAGGGCTATATATCATGTTGAACTGAATGCAGAAATTGCTATATATCATGTTGTACTGAATGGGGAAAGGGCTATATATCATGTTATACTGAATGGAGAAAGAGCTATATATCATGTTGTACTGAATGGGGAAAGGGCTATATATCATGTTGAACTGAATGCAGAAATTGCTATATATCATGTTGTACTGAATGGGGAAAGGGCTATATATCATGTTATACTGAATGGAGAAAGAGCTATATATCATGTTGTACTGAATGGTGAAATGGATATATATCATGTTGTACTGAATGGGGAAATAGCTATATATCATGTTGTACTGAATGGGGAAAGGGCTATATATCATGTTGTACTGAATGGTGAAATGGATATATATCATGTTGTACTGAATGGGGAAAGGGCTATATATCATGTTATACTGAATGGGGAAAGGGCTATATATCATGTTATACTGAATGGAGAAAGAGCTATATATCATGTTGTACTGAATGGTGAAATGGATATATATCATGTTGTACTGAATGGGGAAAGGGCTATATATCATGTTGTACTGAATGGGGAAAGGGCTATATATCATGTTATACTGAATGGAGAAAGAGCTATATATCATGTTGTACTGAATGGTGAAATGGATATATATCATGTTATACTGAATGGTGAAATGGATATATATCATGTTGTACTGAATGGTGAAATGGATATATATCATGTTATACTGAATGGTGAAATGGATATATATCATGTTGTACTGAATGGGGAAAGGGCTATATATCATGTTGTACTGAATGGGGAAAGGGCTATATATCATGTTATACTGAATGGAGAAAGAGCTATATATCATGTTGTACTGAATGGTGAAATGGATATATATCATGTTATACTGAATGGTGAAATGGATATATATCATGTTGTACTGAATGGTGAAATGGATATATATCATGTTATACTGAATGGTGAAATGGATATATATCATGTTATACTGAATGGTGAAATGGATATATATCATGTTATACTGAATGGTGAAATGGATATATATCATGTTGTACTGAATGGTGAAATGGATATATATCATGTTATACTGAATGGTGAAATGGATATATATCATGTTGTACTGAATGGTGAAATGGATATATATCATGTTGTACTGAATGGTGAAATGGATATATATCATGTTGTACTGAATGGTGAAATAGCTATATATCATGTTAATGACAACATGTATTTGTGTCAGGCGACAGTTCTGGACATTGAATGTCACTGTTGTCTTTTTTTTTGTAAGTGCAAATTGCAAGTGCTAGTGCTGACACATAGTGCATTTTGCCACAGAAGTCATTTCCTGTTTGGGACTACATGACAGAGCTGTGTGGCCATCTCCCTATTAAATGGCAATTTTAATGCGGTATCCTGGCGTCAACCAGGCTCGGTCGAACACAAACACCTGCGAACCTTAACCAAGGTTCCCCTAAATTCGCATTCGTTAGCGAATCTCGGCCAGTGGAATTGGCCTTCCCATTGAGTCTGTGGCACACTCACTCAGGGTAGGGGTCGATCCTTTGATGTTCAGCCAAAGATAGGATTTGAACTTAGGTCTACCGCTCATGAGTCTGATGCGACAACCACTATGCTACCAGAACCAGTATGTTGCACTGAATATCATGTTATACTGAATGAAGAAAGGGCTATATATCACGTTGTACTGAACAGGGAGAGAGCTATATATCATATTGTATAA